GTCTATAGGGCTACTCTACCAGCATAAATTCAATGGCTCCAATCTGAGGATTATAGCCACAGCAGTCCAAAGCTTATGACATTAGTTTTGAACCTAAGCATAACCACCACCTTCAGAGCTGCTGTGACACCTAAATCCAAGGTTCTCAGTATAAAACCACCACAACTGTCGAAAATCAATCACAGAACTACTCTTAAGCCTAGGAGGAATGGTCACTTTACAGAGTCGGTGTACCATCACAGATCCAATGCCCTGAATTTGTGAAATCGAATCACATTTGTCGAAAGCCGATTGCACAACTAGTCTTGAATAGAAGCAAATTTCTCAGCATACAGAGCCCCTATACCAGGATAAATTCTAGGCCTCCAGGTTAGGAAACATAAGCCACAGGAGTCAAAGGTCGATCGCACAACTAATTTTGAGCCTAAGCAAAGTCATTGGCTGCAGAGCCGCCGTAGTAGCGTAAATTGAAAGCCTTGAATTTGTAATTCTCCACCACAAGAGTAAATAAACAACCGAACCACTAGCCCCATACCTAAACAAATTCGTTAGCTCATAGGGCCGCTGTGATAGCACAAATCCAAAGACCTCACTTTGCAAAAAACTTCACCACAAATGCCCAAACTCGACCACACAACTAATCTAAAACCCAGGCAAATTCATTCGCCTACAAGGCTACCGTAAGCTCATAGATTCTGTGCCTTAAATTTGAAAACTCTAACTGCAGCAGTTAGAAGATCACAGAACTGGTTTAACACTTAAGCAAACCCAGCCTGCCGCTGTGACAACAAAGACTTGAAATGGGAACTCCAACCGCAGCAGGTTATAGTCGATCACATAGGCAGTCTTGAACTTAGACAGATTCATTCGCCTACAGGCCAACCACATCAGTCCAAAGTCGATCACACAGTTAGTCTTAAACCTCACGAAAACTATCAGCTAACCGGGCCGCTATACCAGCATGAATTCAATGCCTTTCGTATGTGAACTCCAACTACAGCAGTCCGAAGTCTATCACAGAATTGATCATGTACACGGTTCAGAGTCGATCACACAACTAGTCTTGAACCGAAGCAAAACCATCAGTCTACAGGGCGCCTATCCAGCATAAACCATATCCCTTCAATTTGAGAATTCCAGCAACAGCAGTTCGAAGTCGATTACACAACTAGTGATGACCTAATCAAAGTCATCGGCTTATTGGACCGCTCTAGAGTATAAACTCAATGCCTTCAATGTGCGAACTCCAACAGTAGCAGGTCCAAAGCCGATCACAATAGTCTTAAACCTAAGCAGAACCACCATCCTATCTGCTGTATGAGCTTAAACTCAAAGTCCTCACTATGAAAACCACCACAAGTGTCAAAAATCAGTCACAAAAACTACTCTCAAACCTATGCGATATCACTTTGTAGAGTTGCTTTACTGGCATATATCCTATGTGGTCAATTTGGGAACACCAACTACAAAGTCGAAGTTCTATCACACAATCACCAGCTTACAAGATCCTGTACCAGCATAAATCCAATGCTTTGAGTTTGGGAACTCCGACCACAGTAGTCCATAATCGTTTACACAGCTAGCCTTAAACCGAAGAAAAGTCATCAAGATACAGAACTGCTATAATATAGATCCAATCTCGTAATCTGGAATATTCCATCACAGGTGTCGAAACTTAATCCCATAACCACTCTTAAATCCAAGCGAATCCCTCAGTCTACAGGCCGCTGCAATAGCACTAATCCAGAAGATTAACCTTAAAAACATCGATCACAGCAGTCGAAGGTTAATCATACTAGTCTCAAGCCTATGTAGCTCCGTCACTGTGACACCGTAGATGCAAAGCCTTTATTATAAAACTTCGTCTACAATAAGCTTGTGGGCCGTTGTGATAGCATGATTTCAGGGCTTTCAACTTGAAAGTTCAATCATAATACTCGCTGATCCACTATGGTCAGCAAATGACCGAATTTTTCAAAATTCAGTCTTGTTTCTCTGCAATAAATCTACAGAAAGGTAGAAAATCCCACCGGAAGGTGAGAAGATACCGCCTCTATCTCGTTTTGCACATAGTCCCATGTCCATGGTTTCGTTATGTCGAATATCAGGATAACACCATGTGCACCTTTGTAGACGTCAATGAAACGTGCATCACATGCCGCCCCTTCCAACTTCTTAACGTATAATCAAATTTATTCAATCAATACAGAATGAAAAGACAAATTGAAAGGCGTTCGTTACCTCATCGATTTTTCTGGCTGCGTTGGAAAACTTTAGTTGCTGGGTTTTCAAGCGCTTTTTCGTCGATGAATCAACAATATCCCAAACATCGACTTTAACAACATCATCTGTTGCCTTGTAATTCCAATGAATGCTAGCAACCTAAGAGACAAACAGATTAGAGAAATGGCTAACATCACATTCGCATCATTAAGTTAGAAGGGTAGAGAAGAAAGCTAATAAAGTTAGTTATTTCTCAGAAAGGAATCAGAAGGTAGGGGGGGGGGATTCACCCGACTTCAGCATCCTTCATTCGAAGTGATTTTGATACATACCAGAGTTTTCACAATGACTCCCAGTGGACTATCGATGTATCAAATCAGTGCTGCTATCCTCCCAGACGATTCTAGCATCAATCCATCGACCCCGAAGAAATGGAAAGGCTTGGTGAGCCTTTCGCGCAGGATCAAGCCATCGACCACCAACCACGTGCGTGACACACAGTACTTCTAACCACTGCGCCACCACACGCGCTCTATATTAGCACCTACGAACCTGAATTTCCTCGGTTGGAATATAGGTCTCCAAAAATGATAGGCCTTGCAAACGTCGAAGTAAACACGACTTGCCGACGTTTCGGTCTCCGCGTATCACAATTTTCACTGAAAAAAAAGAACAGAATGGCTGAAGCTTCAGATGAGATACACTTCTTTGCGTTCGCTGAGAGGACTTTCGACCCTTCAACTTTTCAAAAGCCTTTCTGGAAATAAATCCATGGCGCGCTGTTACGTGAAAATAAAATTATGTTTTAAACTTTGAGTGCTTTATGTTGCACGGCTAGGGTCTATGAATGGATTTCCATTGGACTACACTAACACTCGTTCGACAGCATAAATCTCGACGATTCCGAAATTAATCCTGGTTTTTGAATATGTCATCGTAGTGCGCTATAAGAGCGAATATATTAGGTCGCTCTATAAATTTTAGCGCTGGAACAATGAGCACCAAAATTACTGACCAAAAAAAATTAAAATTGCACGATTTTGGTATCGTTCAATTGCGTATTTTCTTGCGAACATTTTGGTAAACAACTTATCCACATTTGCTTTGAGATGGAGCTGTCTTGGATACAAATTCGCTTGCTAGTCATACACGATTGGCGTGTAGGGGAAAATGCTAATGAAGCGGCGCGCAAAATTTATGGAGCTTGAGAAGATTATACGGATCCAAAAAGGGACGGCAAGGAAGTGGTTCGCGAAGTTTAAAGCTGGAGAGAACAATGTGGAGGAACATACGCGCTCGAATCGTCCACGAGAAGCTCCATTAACCTTGCGCGCCGCTTCACTAGGATTTTCCCCTCCAGCTCCATTGGAAAGTAAGTATAGGCAAGATGTATACCAAATTGTTCGCAAAAAAACGAGCAATTGAACGATACCAAAATCATGCAACTTTAACTACTTGTGGTTAGTAAATTTGAAATACTGCTCCAGTGCCAATGCCAAACTTACGGGACGAGCTGGCAAAAATACGTCTCACATTCGGAGTTCTATTCGTATCTAAGAGTTTTTTATGCATGAAAAGTATATGAGCGGCGTGTAGATAGAATCATAAAGTATACGGGTAATACGAAAACCCTGCAGTCTATTCGCGAAACAAGGAGAAAAACCCTTAGAAACTAACAACAAAAATAGCGCCCCTTGCGAAAATCGATTGAGCCGCGGTCCCCAAAGCCATAAAGAACTCTAACGGAATCTAACTAACTGTTGTACTGTACTCCTCTAGCGAATCGTTTCTGTAGCTCTTGATCGACTCGCTGAATACCGGATGGAATTGGCGACGACTGGTGACAATCGTCCTTGTCACCGCCTAGTTTTCGTCGAAGCGCCGAGATCATTTCCGGAGATCCTGAAGAGCACAGAAGGACATTAATGGCCAATTGAGGGCCACGCACGGATTCACTGGCAACGACTACGACGCACTAACACTACGCTACTCTCACCGGCCCTTATATAGATTAGAAAAAAACGTGACGTCATCACTCTAACGTTCTATAGTCGTTCTAAACCGAACCGACTAACGACACAGGCACAAGGATATCCTTGAAATAAAAAGAAATTTTTTGAAAACCGAGCCAAAGAAGCAAAATGCCCCGTCCACGAAGCAGAAACTCCAGGTAGTAGGACTTGGACGATTGAAAGGTGGGTGAGTACCGTATGACCTACAAAAAAATTGCAGCGATTGGCCGTAGAGCGCGCTCGCATCCACTTCCACCTGTCAAATTTGAAGAAGCCGGGAGTGATTTTGTTTTTATAACTGCTGTTTTTTAGGCAGCATTTTTACTAGTTTAGAAATTCTTTGTCACTTTTTCTTTACTGGAATGCTTGTGATGCTTTTCGTTTCGTAACTCGGCCAAAATATGGAGGAAAAATCAGTGAGATAATCCCTAAGAGAATTGAGTGGGTGAGCAAAATACGGCCTCAGGCGGGTGTCGAACCCGCGTTTCATCTATACCGGAGACGTCTGCTACCACTAGTACCACCGTGGTACATTCGCACCATCACTCATTATTCAACATCTCCGTGTTAGCTGTCAGCCACCAACGTTTGACAGCTTTGACCGGGCATGAGATTTCTCTTTATAGACCCGCTTGAGCTGAAAATCATTGTAATAACTGATTCTTAAAATTTTCATTGTTTTAAGTGCATTTTTCGTAGTGTTATGATGTTTCAAATATCCCTAAGAGAACTGAGTGGTTGAAGAGTGAGTGGTGGTGCGAATGTACTTCGGTAATGTAGTGGTAGCACACGTCCTCGGTATGGATGAAACACGGGTTCGACACCCGCCTGAGGCCGTTTTTTTGCTCACCACTCAATTCTCTTAGGGATATAAGAAACATCATGACACTGCGAAAAATGCAGTAAAAATACTAGAAATTTCGAGCAGTGAGCTAATCATCGCCCTGTAATCCTGTAACCTACGCACAGCTTCACTCCCCCACCTCCCCCCGTATCCCCCCCCCCTCAGAGTCTAGAAGCTCCCGTAGAGGTTATGGGCTTTTGAGGATATTTAAGATATTTAAGCTGCTGTTCTAAGTAAAGACTTCGACTCGCTGCGGAGGATTTTCGGTTGCCGCTAGGCATTTATTGTAATTCTGCTCCTAAATTGATGCGATCTCTTCATGTGGTCTCCCTAACGTAAATCGTTGAAGGCACGCGCCCCCGGAAGCGGTGAAATACGGGTTTGAGTCCCGCCTGATGTCAAAATTTTGTACATCACTCAACATCGTCGGGTAAAGATTTCTTCTATTCAACCGCATTTTTGTAGTGCTATGGTGTTGCAAATAAGTATCCGATAATACTGAGTGATATGCAAGACTTTGGCTTCAGCCGGGCCTCGAACCCGCATTTCACGTTTCTTTGAACGCGCTATCCAGTTGCGCTACCGAAGCTTCTGTTCTGCTAATACTCTTTCTGCGTCCTCAAATAGTTCATTTTCTGGGTGAGTTCTGTTCACGAGTGTTCAGCAGCTCTTTACTCAGTGGGTTTGGTTAATTGTTAGACTCTGCTAGCAGCTAGGTCGACATGCTTGGACGAATGTTCATCATTCCCGATGATGTTAAGCATTATGCAAAGTTTCGACGTCATGCCGGACTCAAATCGCGTTTCACCCCTTTCCATGGTCGCGTTTTCAACCAATTGCGCCACAGAAGCCAGTTTTACTACCACTCTATCTCCACTATAGAGCATTAATCTGTCAGCAACCAACCGCCTACGGTTTGATCTTGCAAATCATGTCGATATCAATCTCAGTTATGCTGACAGATATTGGATATATGTGATCGACAAGAATTATTTCAATCTAACAGCTTTTCTTTGTGGTGGTATGATACTACAGATACTTTCAGTGATGTCGACGCTCACGGAATGGGTGAAATACGGGTTCGAGTCCCGCCTGATGTCAAAGTTTTGCACATCACTCAGCATTATTGGTTACATGTGTAGCATCATACGACCGCTAAAACAGCGCTTAAATTAAATAGAATTTCTGTTCATCATTCGTTTTCCTTTTCTTCTGTTCTAAATGAGTGTGGTGAGCTAGAGCGTTTGTATTGAAGTTCTATCTACATGCAGTAAATATCAATAAAAGAGCGTAGGCGCAGTGATTAGAGGTGCCCTTCGCGCACAGGTGGTCGATGGTTCGCTTCCTCCGCTCAACGCTCACCAAGCTTTCCGTTCCACCGTGGTCAATAAATTGGTCCCGGAGTTGTCTCAGAGATTGGCAGAACTGACTTGGTACGTTGGTAGATCACCGGACTCATTGTAAAGGCCAGATATGCATTTAATATCCTCTACGATGCTACGAATGGAGTCGAATGTATCGTCGCATCGCTTCACCTGTATCACTTGTCGTCCCGTTTGTCGTCGAGTGGCTCGAGCGGACACCAGAAACACTTCCATTATTTCCTATAGCGTGCAAGAGTAGCCCAGTGGGTCCTCCTCGCTCTAGGAATCGTTGAGCATCATATCTTTTCTCTAGTCTTTTCGTGAAGAAATCAGACCAACGGCTCGGTGGTTTTTTTTTGGAGAGCGCATAATATCTCGAGAAATCCAGTCGGTAACGGCTCTTGTCCATCAGTTGTCGTTGAAGCTCATCACATGTACGGCCCACCTTATTTTCGATATCCTGGCATGTAGAACGGCGCCTTTGATCTTCAATCGTAGTCGTAGGTCGAAATTTCGGATCCTTTCTCCCATCCACGAGATGCGGGATACTCCTAGCATTAACCTTTTGACTGCGCGTTCAGTAACGCCAAGTGATCTTCATCCTGCTTGCGTAGCGACCAGGCTTCTGCCGCATGCGTTAGGGCAGGGATAAATGTCGCGTCGAAAAGGTGGGACACGGCAGATGTTCTTTGTCTTCTTCACTACATTTTCGATGCTCTTAAGCGTTCCCCAAACCGCTCGTTTTTTCCTGTTCAACTCTGGAGTTAGGTCGTTCATCATGCTGATTTCACGACCTAGAAAGACGTAACTGGAGCATTCGGAGATTGTCGTTTCGTTGAGCGTGAATGGGGCATTAGAAACCCATCCGTTCCTCATGAACATTGTTTCTGTTAGATTTAGCTGAAGACCAATCTTTCCACAGGCCTTATCGAAATCGGTCAACATTCGTTCCGCTTGACTCATATTTGTGCCATGAGAACGATACCGTCAGCAAAGCGAAGATGGTTTAATTGTCGACCGTCAATTTTCACTCCCATATCGTCCCATTCTAATGTTCGAATGACGTTTTGGAGAGTGGCAATGAATAATTTTGACGAAATTGTATCGCCTTGTCCAACACCTCTTCTCACCTCAATGGTGACATTGTTGTAGAAGGGCGATATTTTGGTCGTGAAATTTTTTTCACGACCAGCGCACTTCTTAGGGATTGATTAAGATCGAGAGCTTTGAAATTTTGTCCTTTCCACTTTTTGAAGATATGTTAGACATTGTTACATGACAGGCGCCCACACCATGACCATGGGAGGTAGTAGATCATCCATGTAAATTAATGGTATGAGAGAATGATTTCTATAGAATTGCAGTTTGTAAAAATTACTTCTTGCGCCTTTCTACTTCGTTATTATACCTGTGCTTGCCGAACACCTTAATGAACGTCGAAGAAGTTCTCTCAAGCTTCTTAACGATGTTGCAAAAGATTCTTACACACCCACGAAACACTAGCTGTTTCCTCTGATTAAGCTTCTCTTCTTCCATTTTTCTTTCATCAGACATAGCATTATATTTGAGCGAGTAAGCAGCTCTCTAACCCCGAAACGATCATTATCCAATGCGAATATGATGAGCTTTTAATCTCATCTACCAGAAGGATTCTGATACTTGCTGAACACGTGTATTTAACTACCAGCTTTTATAGCATGTACTAAATTTGGTACTTCTTTCCTTTCATGGGAAATGTGTCCATTTAAATACATGATTTTCTGCAGGCCTTTCTCGCTGGGAATAATTCTCTCTTATGAGCATTTAGTAATTTCTCAAAAGCTTATATCTCGATGATTTCAATATTAAAGCCCTTTTTATTGCGTTGTAGCAGCAAAAATGAAGTTATGCTTCACACTCAATCTGCTCTGTTTACTCGGCTGAAGTTTTTGGATGATTTTACGCTGTGCTTCTAAAAGTCATTCAATAGCCTGAGTCTCGATAGATTTGATGTTAAACCTGGTTTTTGAATGACATAGAGCGCTGTTAAAGCCAAGAAGATAACACTTTGCACCCGGAATAGTAAGCGTTTCACTTGAACATCATAATAGGGAGTGAGAAGTGTACTCTTCTTTTCACTCTAGCAGCGCTTTATCTTTGCCAGTTTTTAAAAAAACAGGTTTAGCATTGAATTTGTGGAGATTTGAGCCATTGAATGACTATCAGTAGTCGAGCTAAAAGCCATCCAAAGATCCCAGCCGAGCAAACAAAGCAAGCTGAGTGTGAAACATAACTTTATCTTTGCTGCTGCGACGCAATAAAATTAAACTTCTTTGAAATTAAGCGCATTGTCAAAATCATCGAAATTTAAGACTTCGAATGGTCACTAAGCATTTAAACAAGAGGTTTTTACAGTGAAAAAGCTTCTCAGATAATCGTGTTTCCACTGGATAGAATTCGTCCCAAACGCTAACTACAATGAAAAAACTCTGGCGTTTTCAAAAAAATAGGTAACAAATGACTAACTAATGACTCTTTTCCCATGCTCAGAAGAATAATGTAGGCGGCGGTCTGTAATCGAAAAGAAGAAGGTACCATTGACAACCTAGATACCCTATATCACAGAAAGAGTGATAGCAGAACAACGGCCTCGGTGATGCATTTTAGCACGCGCCTCCGGTATGAATGAAACTGGGGTTCAATTTTCTCCTTAAGCTCAAAATTTTGCACATCACTCAGATTTCTTGGATTGCTTCTCTGTCAGTCTACAATTATAAAAATTCTTGGCGATACAGTTAACTAGTTCCTCATTCGTTTAGTAATTTGTAGTAGCGATGACTGTATGAGATGAATCAATAAATATTCTTCAATATAGATATATTGCATAATACTTTTCCTAAATAATAACATAGAAATTCTTTGTACTAAAGGAATCTTTTGAAGATTTGTGGAAAGAAAAATACTGAGAATTTTTGCATTTTTATCTCTTTTCTAGGTGAAATCTTGGAAATTTTTGCATGAAAATGAAGATTTGCGGCTAGCATTGTATAAGTTGTTAAGAATGTCATAATTAATATTCCATAATGTTAAGTAATATGCAAGATTTTGTAACTCGGGCGGTAGTTTAACCCACATTTCACCCTTTCTTGAAGCCCTGGTAGTGCAGTGGGTTAGCTTGTGCTTCAGAAAGTGTGAAACGCGTGCTCAACACCCGTCCGAGATTCAAAGTTTTACATTTCATCCAACATTATTGGAAAAATAGCTAAAACATCGTACCACTGCTGATAATGGCTAGGTAAAAATCTCAACACGAGGGTTTCCGCGCTATTTATCTGTTTTAAAACTCTGTATATTGCAAAACTATGAAACTCCGACCAAGAAATGAACAGCTCGGTGTCTAGTAAAGGTGTTACTGATGTCTGTGATCAAATAATTCCGTGTTTTTTTGAAGAGCAAAAACTAGATTGTCTATAGTAGAACTGATTGAATACAATACTTCTGCGATATAGCGTTCGTTAGAGCTTGGAAGAGCCAAAATGATATGCACTTTACTCATTCAAACACCTTCATAACTAAAGCAGACAAAACTTTATATATTTATGCTTAATTGCATGGTAAACTACGTTTTCTACATACTTACATGGTGATT